ACAAACAATCGAGGACATTATGTGATGGACAGCAAGATTTGCAGTGTCTGACCTTACACTACAGCATGTAAACCTCAGCTGAGATCTGATCCAGCCTCTCCTTTCCCTAGTCCTGCATCATCACAAGCCCAAACCCCCCAGGTTATTTCTGACATGGTCAAGGAAGCTGCAAAGTGACAGATCCTGCACAGCAGTGGTTCCACAGYCTGGCTCGCTGTGGGAAGCCAAGGGGATGCATATGGGGAAATGAAATGTTCCCGAGTTTCTTGACACCAGCCCTGGTGATCATTGCATCTGCCTCTGCTTTCAAARGGCACCCACATTCAAGTAGAATCTGCTCTAAAATATTGATTTAGAGCAGATGTAGTTTAAAGAGAGTTTACAAGGAAAGTGGTTTTTGATCTTTTTTTATCCTCTGAAGGGAGAGTATGGAAACAAAAAGCAACGTTAAGTCATAAAAAAATAATTGTTGTAGACCTCAGCAATTTTTAATTCCCTTTCCTTCACTAAACATCTGGGTTTTGTTAGAAAACACTATAAAATGATTTTCCAAAACCTTTGACATGCATTCTGCTCAAAACAACCCCAAAGCTCAGGAAGAAGGGTTTCAAACCTAGTAAAGGTTGTTATTTATTGAGTCCTTTTTATTTTCTCCTGCCTAACCATTCCCTGCTATTTGCAAGGGCACAGGGATAGGAAGTTAGCATGTTAAGACAATACTCATCTAATAAAAGAAAAGGACATTACACCAAGGAAACTATTATTCAAGCAGATTCAGTCTGATGAGCCAAGAAAAAGCTGCCTCTGCATAACCCAGGGCTCTCGAGACACCTATGTGATTAAGTAACTTCAGAACAAATTAGTGCTCCATGAACTGATTAGACCATAAATAAGCCAAATAGGAAAGAGAGAAGCCACTGACAGACACAGCATCCTCCTGACAGCAGCTGAGCTCTACAGCTCTCATTCASAATGAACACCAAAAAGCTGTCAGTGCCAAAAGGATTTGTGGCCTTTTTACTCCCAATTCAAAGTACGTCAAAGCAGATGCAGTATCTACAGTAGATAACTAATCACAAGAATCCTATACTTTCATTTTCTCTCGTCACTCAAAGCACAAATTGCAGCTCTCTCCCCGACCTAATAATTATTCGTATGGCTGCGTTTTGTTCTTCTCCAGCAGCAGCAGGAAACTTGATTGGAGCTGCAGGARCTCAGCCAGTGACTATCCAAGTGCTGTTGTGATAGCACAAAGCAGAAGCCAACTCGGCAGGTAATTGGACWTGGAAGTCACAGAGATCTTCCTCAGTCAGCTTGAAACAGTAATTTCATAGGGGAGAAAATGCATTGCCTTTATCTACCACAGGTTACCAAAGGAAAACTTTGATCCTGAGAAAGACAGGCATAATAAATACCAAGACACACCACCATAAAGAGTTATTAAAGGTGGGGTTTTTCAAGYCTGCAGCAATTCAAAAGGCATTTGGAGTCTTTTCTGGAGTTCCTATTACACATGCACTCACTTAGGAAAGCACAATATTCCCTTGTTAGAAAGGAGTACTTCCATTGCTCTGCAGTTACATTCTGTTGCCCTCTGACTTAATATTTTGGAATATATGAATTATCATCCACACTATAACATGGGAATTCAGTCATGCTTCCAGAGTAATCCTCGGGAATCCTGGAGTGCTACTGTCAACAATTCCTGCTTCATAATGCCTCAAATAATTCAAATGTGCATGAAGCCCCTTTTTCATTTCTCTAAACTTCACATCCATGGAAGTAATTCCAAAGCATCATAAACCAACAGAGAAATCTAAATGCTTGCAGAACCAAAGTCCTGGGGGATTCTGTGATCAGAGTGTTATGAAAACCTCCCATTTCCCTCCCAAGCCCAGTAAACTGCAGTTCAGCATCCCATTAGTCCCAGGTAAATATTCTGAAAAAAAAAAAACGTTTTATTCCACTCTCATCTGAAGTTCATCACTTACTGTAAAAAATTTCTGCCCAAATAAAGCCTGGAATCATCTCAGACACCAGCAGACTCTGACAGGAGTTTCACAGCATTAAATATTGTGCATGGAAACAACAGTTAACACAATTCAACCAACTGAAATACACATTACAACTGCCTTCTGACTTTGTTAAACTGCTCCCATAGCTTGAAAATAAAAATCATCAACYCTAACTATGTTATGATGAGCTAATAGTAAACTTACATCTGTGAGATTGTAGTTAGAGGAAGATTTTCACAAATTCTGTGCTCACAACTGATAAACCTTCCTCTTCATCATTAGAACTAAGTCAATGCAAGGAGTGGCCTCTGCTGTGATGTGATGGTTTTGAAAGAAACTCTCTCATTTAGCAAAGGGGATTATTAAAATCTTGAGAAAGATCCATATGCAGTTAATGAAGACTCATTAATGAAGACACATTCACCAAACTCTACCCCAGACATGTCCATACAGACAAGCTCAGAACAGCAGAAGTTTTAAGCTCTTTCTTACAGTAAAACCAGTTTTGACAATGCTTAAAAATTCTGTCTCAAATGGTCTGATTTTTGTAAAATGGGGGACACTAGAAAATTCCCAAATCGTGCTGAAGCACAGAGTTAATAAAACAGATTTTAAAGTCAAGTGCATAATATTGAAGAGACGCCTCTATATTTTAACAATGATAACAACTCTGAAAAAACTTGAGACTTATCACCCTTGCAATGCTTTCCTCCCAAATACAGCCACATACCCTCAGAAGGCCCAACATTTCTGAATTTTCTTCAGCACCTCAGAAGGCAGAATGGCAAAAAACAAGAGCTCAGTGGAAAAAACAAAAGGCAGTGATTCATATGCAATTAGCTCAGCTAAATTTACTACTGAAGCCATTGCTACTCCAGATGTCCTTGACACCTGCACAGCAGGGACAATGGAACATGACAAGCATCCTCTTACCATCTAMTGCAGTTTTCAGGCTGACACACTAACTCGAAATTGGTGACAGCTACAGTTCTTGAGCTGTTGCATTAATGCAATCAGCACAAACCCAGCCRTGCACCTTATTCAAGCCTCCATTTGTCAGAAACAAAACCAACAGAGACAGTCAGGGCTTCTCCCACCTCTGCTAAATGCACCCCCCAAAAAGCATCAGTACTCTGAACATCACATGTCTTTTTACTCATAGATTCAGTTTAGTGACAGACAAGCAGAACGAACAGAAAATTGGTATCTGAAAAGTTAAAATGAAGGATGCAAAGGGAGGAAACTTTTAATATCCTGTGCAGCACAAGTTTCTGCTGTTTCATCTTCCTTAAATACAGTGAGACTGAAAGACTGASAGCACAACTAAACTTTTGAGGTCAAGCTGCACATTATTTTCCAAGAACTAARCAGCCACTCTTTATTAGCCTATGTTTCTTCAATCAATTACACAAGTTACGTGCAGAAACAATTCTTAGTGAAACAATTCAGGCTCTGGTGCCTACGATGTGAGAAAAGCTGATGACAGCATCTTAAAAATATAAGTGTCCTTTCTGTGCAGGGAAAGAGCACTCACTGAGAGCCACTGCACCACTGTTCTGGCACACATCCACCAACYCTGCCCCAGACAGCAGCACAAATACACAAAAGCTCTTTTCTAAGGGTTCAGACAAAGTGCAAAATACATTCAACTTGACACATCYACCTGAATCCAAATCCTCAAAGGACAGGCTTTTATGTCCCAGACCCTCTGCTATCTTTATAAGGGCACTAATTTGTACAGCACACATATTTTATCTGCACTACAATAACACYGCAGATGAACACTAACCAGATTCCTTGTGGTGTCTGCCAGGTGTTTAAATATTTTGCAACTCAAAGCTGAAATACTATCTGCAGTCTAAATGCTTAAGATTATCCAGTGAGAATATGTGTATATTTCCACCCACTATGTAAAACACTTTTTTTTTCCCATTTGTTGAATTTCAAGCAACAGACTAGACATATGAACGTGTACTACAGGTCTTTCCTGAAGATTTCATCAGGAAGATTTAATTCACAAAAGTTAAAGTTACACTTTGGTAATACAAACACTGAAAAATATTTACTGTAACTTTTAATCCAAAAGACTCCACATTTATCTGCAGCAGGCAATCCCTATACAGTGTTCAAAGGAAACAAGCTCTGATATTGYGTATTTTGGTAAGTTTAGGCATTTACTGTGTACGGTGTGTATTAGAAAAGAAAACACAATCCCATACTAGGTATTAAACAACATTCTTCTCTTGGTCCAAGTCAGACAGCACATTTCTGAGAATGGTGTAGGTTGGTTCTCTCCCTCTCCCAAGAGGGACTTCAGTGAGGTACATCTTGTACAAACCATCCCCTYGTGTAACACCACAGAACTCCCCCTCCACTTTGGCCCAAACTCYACTCACTTCTTGCTTCTAAGAAAAAAGCTCTGAGAGGAGAGATAGGAAGACCTTTTGCAGCTTGCAATACATTCCACCACCAGAATTCTGACCTGGACAGTTCTATACATTAATATGTTGCTATGTTAATATATTTACTTTGCTGCTTTTCCTCCTTCATCCASACTAAACCTCAAGTAAAAATCTGCAGTGTCATTATTAGTAAGAAAAATGAACGGCTCAAAGGGGTTGCAACATTTTTTATAGCATGTCAGTTATCTTCCTGAAGAGAAAAAAAATCACTCCGGTGAGAAAGAAACTAAAAYACTTTTTGTGTTTTTATCACCCAGCTACTCTATGGCTCAGATAAAACAGTCAGCACTGACAGYCAGCTTTCTGAACAGGGGTAGGAAGGTTAGATTATCTCATACCTGTGTTTACARACTATTTTAAACAGTAACAGGATTAAAGAAAGAAAATCCACTGCAGCCTCTTCATTAAACAAATGTATCCTACTACCACAGAATAAATTGGCAGGAAGATAATTCAGCAGTAGTACCTGAGCTGTTCTCCACTCAGGAGCATTAGAAARTAGCATTTGCCCAGTGTCACATACCTTTGATGCTTGAGGAGTAGAGATGACATGAACCGTACTGGGTTTAACTCCACTTGCCTTAGTCCGTTTAAAAAGGGCAAATCTGCTTTTCCTTCGCCCCCTGTCTCCATTAGGAAGGGATCCATTGTACCTGGAAATAAAGGAAAAAAAGTTTAGCATAAACTACCACCAGYTTGCAATACAGGAATGGAGTGAGTGGTAATTTGGCCACAATATTCTGGTGTCATTAAATGCATGAGCGAAAAAAAAGCAACAACCAGGTTAATTTTGCTTCCTGAAATATGAGCATTCAAACATTCTTAACCTACCAACAGTTGAAATTTTATTCTCATAAAAAAGATAATTAACTACAAATGAAATACTGAGTTGYTCAGCCACAGAAATACTTCTTCACCTCGAGAATCAAAGCAATTTGGAAGAACGAATTTTACATCTTTACTGTAATTTCAGAACACAAGGAGTTCTAAAATATTTTTACCCTACCACCCCTCTCCCCACATTTCATGCAGAAATGGAGGAAGAATAAGGGCAGCTTGGAAAATGTAAGTAATTTAGGGGMAAGTAAAACTATGTGAAAAGGTATTTCACTCACACAGAAAGCTTTTCTAGTTGTTCTCCCCACTCTTTTTTTAAACTTTAATCCTAAAGGCTTTATCTATTATTAAGGAAAGAGGATGCCAGTGTTTTTAATTTATGTGGCTATCTGAAGCTTCACTAATGACTTTCTTTATCAGGTGTAACACAGGAGCCCTCAACAGTTCTTTCATCTCTCCCTGAGGACAYAGACCCAATGGATTAATTATTCAGAGAAGTCTGAAGCCTCAAGGGGACAGAGCTCCTTCCCCAGAGAAGGGATCCACTGGGAATTTCTTTGCAGTGCACAAGCAGGGAGTTCACTGCCACCTCACCCCCAGATTTAGGTCAGGCAGAGGTTTCTCACCACAGCACAGTCACCTGTGCCATTCCTGACGACTCTCAGATCTCAAGACTTCGTTTCACTGCCTCTCTCATTCTCGATCTTGAGATTTCAGACTTTTGCCCAAGAAACTAGATGTTCTTCCACTGATAAATCTCTTCTGTCTCACTGGTGAGGTCTATTCTATGCTGGTCTCATATATATCCCACTCGTACAGCCTTTATGATTAAAGGTCCACATTGCATCAGAAAAATAATAGGAAAAG